AGAAACACGCTCCACCTGTGGCTTCGTCTTACCGGCGCCATTCGGATCGCAGCATGAGCCCCACAGCCCTGCACGGCCTTGTGAAGGGTTTCACCAAACATGTTTCGGAGTTCAACAGAATGACAATACACAGCATCGATCTTGGGCCACCAATCCAGGGCGGACTAGAAAAGAAGCCAGACCATAAGGAAGGAAAAGTATCAGTACGAAAATAAATATATCACTTGATGCAATGAGTAATTTGTTCTGGCTCTAAACTCATATAGGCTAAAGTAGATGTCAAAAAGTGTCTTAGACCATGCAAGAAAACACACCGTAATTTCCAGTCTTCAAATAAGCCCTTCAACCACTAATTTCTAGATGTTCTGTATCGTGCTCAAGAGGGAGAGATAAACAGAACAATTTGTAGACAAAAGCAGAAAGAGTGCTCACCCCAATGCGTGAGATTTGTATGTCCAGACAACTAGCTAATCTGAAAACTAAACAGCCTTTTACAGGGCTAATTCTGAAGGTGATCCAATTACAGAGGAGAAAAGCTTGATGATTTAGATATCAGAGATTAAGCTCTTGTTCTAATTAAAGTTATTTAATGAAAGCTTAAAAAAAAGTTGTGATAGATTAAGATAAATTACGGTGGTTTGATACTTTTACAGAGTTATATGGGAAGCAGCTATGTGTAGATTCCCCAAATAAGAACAAAGATATTTACAACAATGTTAGTAAATGAAATAAAATTATTAGTAAACTCATGATTTTAAATGTATAAGCAAAAATGGACAAGAAACATGAAAGACTAACAATCACCATAAACAAACACATAAATTAGTTCAAACAAAATATTTTGTTAAATGGAAATTCAAAATTAAATGCAATTCTATTCTAATTTAACATTCTATTTGGATTTTAAAATCTTTTTAAAATTCCCATTTCACTTAAAAGTTCACATTTTAATTTTACATATGTAGAAGAAATGTAGCATTAGTACACGAAAAACTAATTATGAAACTGCAAATCCAAAGCTTACATAAGCATGGAAGAAGTAAACAGAATAAGTCCAACTCAAACAGAAATATTCATGGTATTCCTATCAATTTATTGAAAAGTAATGACCAATTTTGAGAGTGTTGCTATGGGAGATTGTTAGTGGTCTAGTAGTGAATGAAGGACAAAATATGGGCTCCAGATTCACACTTCTTTTTCCTAGGGCAAAATTAACTGCCCAGTCTTACATCTTCATACCCAATACTTTTGAATTATTTGAATCACTAGATATATATTATTATACACAGAGCAAGAAGTCAGATGATTGAGTTACCCTATTTTAAATTATTTTTGACTCTGGGTAAAAACAAGTCTATACAAAGACAAAATACCATGTTTTATCTTTTTTAAACCTCCACAATTTACTGTACTTACACAGTCTGGATGTTGTACCCTGCCTAGGTGGTAAAAAGCACCTAAGGCCAACTTTGGACTACGCAGCTGGGAGAGGGAAAAACACATTTTTGGACAACATGGCTATCAGCAGAAATTCCTGCCACTCATCAATTTCAAGTACCTGCTGACTATAATCTGGCTCGCTCCCAACAGAGCATCAAGTGGACAATTTGCGATTTGAAAATAGATCTTACTTCTTCAAATGTGGATAATCTGGGTGTTACCCTGAGATAAAGTCACAGAGACAAGCTTCCTTTGTTTGCTTTTCCTTTCTCTAAAGCAGATTGTATTAAATCTGCTCAAAGGATAAAGGTCACAAAAGGTTATCTATTATGTAATGCCAGGTGATCAAAAACTTCTCCACTCTTCATGTTGCCAAGGGATGTGATCTCTGTATAATAAAACCCTCTAGGAATCACTAAGTTTTTAAAGATTCTATGGCCTTAATATGCAAAAACCAAGTGTACTCAGTGGATAACCGATTGTTCATTTAAGATTTCTGGCCATGGGTCTAGTAAAACGTAGCTCAGACTTGTCATTTGAAACCCATTCGTGGTTGCATGTACACATCTTGAATACTGTGCCCCACTCATGAAGTAAAAGTCCTGTGGGGACAACTTTGGTCTGTAGCTATGAGAAAACCACATTTTCTCCAGCACTGGATACCCTGTATGAGTCCCCACAGCTCTGTCCAACCTCAAAGTCCCTCCCCCAACCCCAGCCCCACTCTTACTGTGAACGACAGTGGGGTACAGTACGGTGCACTACTGGATCTGGAATCAGGCAACTGTCTCTGCTACCTACTCTATACCCTTACGCAAGTCACACAACCTCTCTGGGCCTTGGAAGCGGGTTGGACCAGAGGGTCTCCATGGTCTCTTCTCTTCTGGCTCAAAATTAATGATGAATCATCTACTTAGTCTCCTAGTTTGTTAAGAAGACAGAGGCAATCTAATAAGGCCCTCACCATCCCCACTCCACTCCTGTCCTCCTGCCTGACCTGTCCCTTTCTTCCTCAACTCTGTTCAGTCTCCAGATGTTCCTCTGATATCCTCCTCTCTGGCTTTCTCCAGGTCCTCACTCTAGCAATCAAGTATGATGAGGTCACCATGATGCTAAAAAACTGAACCTCCCCCCTCCTTGACCGTGGGATCCTTTTTCCATTATAATTAAACCTCTTGAAAAACTTGTCTATGCCAAAATACCACCAAATTCTTCCTTCCTACTCAATTGGCTTCTTCTCCCCACCATCCTGATTAAATTGCTCTAAGTTCACCAGTGACCCAATCACCCCATCACCCACTAGCTACTCTTTAACTCTCATCTCCCTCAGCCCTGTATATGGTACATAATTCTGCTGACCTCACACACAACCTCTACCCTGACCCCTGACCAAATAATTAGAATCGGGAAACTTAACAGCTCACCTAGTTTAACCTCCTCATTTTTCAGATAAGGAAAGTGAGTCTCAGACTGGTTCAAGTGCTTTGAGCAATTTCACCACAAAGGTACTAAGTAACAAGGCCAGGGTTTGAACCCAGGTCTTCTAATAACAAAACCACCGCCCATGCCACTCCACTACAATGCTACTACGAAACAAGGATCTCTTGGATTTGTTCAAAGGATGTCTAACAGACGGTAAGATTACAAAAATGAACAACGTTGACCGATACACAGGAACAAGTGGCTTAAAACAGGGTATTGCTACCTACGTTTGTACTCAAATGGCACCCAGCCTGGAAATAAGCTAACAGCCTGAGGAACCAATCTCTTTAGGCACCCCTGATTCTCCATATACCTTCTGGAAGAGAGGGCAGAATTTAAGTGGGCCAATAAATCTATGACACAATTCTACAAAGTGTGTAAAGTGAGTGCGTGTGTGTGTGAAAGAGAGCTTCACACACTACTAGTTCCCCTCCCACTTCTCTCTGTAACTTTTCTTTTTTTTGTATCCTAACTGACTGTATTTTGTCCTCTTTCCAACCCTCCACAATAGTTGTCTACCAAGGTTCCATCCTTGGCTTTTTTCTCTTTCCATAATATCTCCAACCCTGAGCACTCTCCTAAGCTCCCGATCTGAATCTCAAACTGTCTCCAGGATGTCTTAACAGAATCCAAACTCTCAATGAATGCCCCACCAAGTTTATCCTCATTCCTCCTAAATCTACTCCTTCTGCTATCACTATTTCTGCCAGTATCATTCATCCATCCTCCGATTCTGTAGTTTTTTGGTAAACTCTCCCCATCCGTTCCTCTCTCATGTCTGAGCAGTTTACCAAGGCCAGGTGCTCCCACGGGCCCACTCCCTCTCACATCCATCTCCTCCTTCTACCTACTCTCACTAGCACCACCCTAGTATAGGTCAGTACCATTTACCTGAACTATTCCAAGAGCCTACCTGATCCTCCCACCAGTCCACCTTCCACACCCTTGCACGGCACTGCCACACATATGTGGATGGAAACCTTTCAATGGCTGGCACCCTTGTAACTAGAGTTAAGCCCCTGATCTGGAATGCCACACCTTCCTATTCTCCCAGCTTACCACTGTAGCACTCCCCTCCACATATGAATGCTATGCTCCACCCAAAGTGAACAGCCTGCCACCTTGTAACCACACACCCTTTGCTTCTGTTCTGTCAAGGCCCTAGACCAGAGGAATTCCATATCTGGATAATACAAGAACTAGTGGATATGATCATTAAGCCACTGTAAGAAATCTTTTTCAAAAGGTCATCGACTGGTAAGGGATCACAGAGGCCATCATGTCCAACCCCTAGGACGGATGCTTTGGCGGGTTAGATGAGGTGCCCAACGTTGCAGAGGCAGGAAGCCTCAGAGGCCAGATATGAATCCAGGTCTTTGAACTCCAGAGCCAGAACTTCTGGAAAGATCCTGGAGAATGGGAAAAATACTGCAGGACTGAAGAAGGGCAAGAAGTACTGTCCTAGATTTCAAGAAAAGAAAGAGAATGGCTTTGTAATGTACAGACCAATGACTAAGCTTGAATTCAACTCCTGTCAAAATTCTAGAACAGATTTTTTATTAAAGAGATGAATGTATAGAAAAGGAAGTGATGATTCAACAAAAGCAGGTCACACCAGACTAATGTTATTTCCTTTTTTGACAGAATTATTCAGACGGTGGATCAGGATGTTACAGGCAAAGATTTTAGTGAAGCACCTGACAAGTCACTTACAACACTTTTTGTGGAAACAGAGAGAGCTAGAGGCTAGATGTTAGAATAATGAGGCCAACGTCTGAGTGACTGTACAGGTGGAGCCAAACAGTTATCATCAACAGTGGGTGTTAACTTGGAAGAAGACCTCTGGTAGAAATCTCCAGGGATCTGACCTTGAACCTGTGACATTTAACATCTGTGTCAATGACACGGAGAAAGGCTAGTCCCAAATGACAAAAAGATGGCAGGGAAAATTAATATCCTAGAGCCAAAAATGGCTCTGACAGGAGAGAAGACTGAGTAATCTATGATAATAAGATAAATAATAGAGATAAATGGGAAGTCTTACACTTGGGTTCAAAAAAAATTCATGAACTGCAAGCTCACGGCCACCAGCAGCATTCTAGAGTTGCCGCGGAAGCAAATGCAATAATCAGCAGCGGCAAGAGGCTAAGGTTCTGGGGGAGAAAAAGGCCTGGTCCCATAGCACATGGAACCAATGAGGAGACATCTGCAGGAGGAAGCTCACTTCAGGCCCCACCTGAGGAAGGACACCCATAAGGTAAGTTGAAGGGCACACAGGACAGGGCAAGCAAGATGCCAAAGATGATGATGGCTGGCCTGGAGAAGAGAAGCCATGGGGAAAGACTGGCAGGGCCGGCGTGTAAGAGGGCACACTCAGGAGCCCTAGTGCACACTACAAAGAGGCTGATGTCAGCCTCGTGTCAAGACAAGCTTCCTAACAACCAGAGCGCTCCAAGTGCACAGCGGGCTCTTTTCACTGGAGCTCTTCAAAAAAATGGGAGGGGGCCCCGCTCATGTATCAGGTGACAGAGGTGGTTCTTTCTAAAGGAAGGGCTGCCTGAGATCCAAGCCATCCAGCGAGCATTTATTAAGCACCTACTGTAGTCATGAAGGTCCTTGTGAAGTTTGAAATTCTGTACCTGGATGACCATGAATTTGTGTGCCATTGTGTATTATATTTACAGAATATGATAATAAAGTGAGAGGCAGCTGAATATAATGCACAGAGAGCTGGTCTTCAAACTAGGTTGACCTGACCCTCCGCCAGTGGATGACCTGGGCAAGCCCATTCACTGTCTTAGACTCTAAGATGGAGAAGGGCTGCTGGTCTGTATCAGTAAAAGAACTTCCTTAAAGGGGAGGCTCCCTACATAGATGAAATCACAGATCTGGGCTAAAAAAGGCTTTTTTAATGTGACTTTTAAGCTTTATGAAAGCAAGAGCTGTTTCTAAACTAGGTTAACTCCCTTGATTCCTACTACAATGCTCAACACACAATAAATTAAACGTTAGTTTATTTGAACAAATAAGTCAATTTTTTAAAAACGTACAATTTTCTATAATTGCATTTAAGGTTAAAATAAACTGGAGCAAAACAGTAATAAATAACCAGGTAAATAGCACTTTATAATTTTTTTCCAAAATATTTATAATTTCTTTATAGCAACCTTATCAAACAACTGGGAATGTTACACAACATGAATGAGAATGGCATGAGATCAAAGGCATTCAGAATACTTTTATTTTATTTTAGAGTTTTTTGTTTATTTTTTTAAATTGGAGGCAATCAGGGTTAAATGACTTGCGGAGGGTTACACAGCTAATAAGTGTCTGAGATCAGATTTGAGGTTGGGTCCTCCTGACTCCAGGGCCTGTTGCTCTATCCACTATGCCACCGAGCTGCCCCTCTGGAATACTTTTAAAGCAACGTTTCCATGTTTCAAAATGCCTTGGAATCAATCATCTCATCTAAACACCCTCATCTGGAAAATTATATTATCATCTAATTCCCATTACACTAATTAGTTACAGAATAAACTTTTGCTACAAACATAAAATCGACTCATAATTGCTAGTTTGAGCACCTTCAGGAGAGGATTAATTTATATTTCACAAAGGTGCATGTTGGTGTTTAGCTTTTCCAACTTCTCAATTACACTAGTTTTCCTCAACTGACTTTCAAGGGGGGCTGTGAAGATGAAATCAGTGATCCATCATCCGCTTGCAAGTCTTCTCTAATATATGCCATATAAAAAAAATGGCCATTTTTTTTCAGGGTTCTGCACTGGCAATCATTTAAAAACCTCATTAAACTTTTTTAAAACTGAAGACTAGTTCTGGAACCCTCTAGAGAGTACAACCCAAGTGTTCAAAAAAGGAGAAAAGCTTTAATATTCCCCAGAGCACAACCAGCACTTTCCCCATCTTCTGCTCCTCAAAGATGGGACTAAAGAATTTCTGTATTGGAGTCAGGAGTCCAGTCACTTCCCATCTCTGCAAACACACTAAACTGCTTTAGCCCACAGGGAACTGCACACTGCACACAAGGGCTCATCCTCTCCGTACTGGGGCCTTCCCCCTGATGAACCTCATCATCTTTACATCTGCACACACCGGATTCCCCAGGAGAAGGTGAGGGCCTGGGCATAGAGACAATCTCGCTTCTGTCTTGGTATCCCTGAGGCCTACCAGTGCCTCACAAGCACCAGAAATGCCTGCTGAGGTGAACTGAGTTCTATGAATTCAAAGCTGTGTCAGCATGTCCAGAAAACCCATATTCTTCAGATGCCCTGCCGAATTTCTGTTCTTTGATGGACCTGGGACTTTACTGACATGATAATGTTTAACTAACATTTCCAAAGCAAAGACAGGCTAACTAAGTTACACAGTATACCCTTATTTTTAAAATCAAAGTCCTAGCTTTCGCTGTCAGGAGGTCCTACAAATTTAACGTCCAGTAGTACAGAACACTAGGGAGGACATCGTGACCAGAAAAGCTCACCAAGTCGCCCTCAATGAAGACACTCCAGTGCTTGGGTTATGCTTTGGGAACATTCTTTATGTGCTCCCTAAGTTTTGTGGTCCGTGTCCCAACCTATTTTTACTTGAAAAGTGTTCCTACTCTCAAAGCATTTTTTAAACAAATCTTGATATTCTTCTTGTAAAGAACAACACTGGTTGGCATTGTCTCATAGACAGACTATATCTTCCAACATGCAACACTGTTTACAGTGGAGAAAGATGCGCAGTCACTGTCACCATGTACACTGAGGCATGCATGAAGCACCACTCCAGCATGCTTTAACCCAAAGAGGATCAGCCCAGCCACTTACAGCAGTGCCGAGTCCATGCTTGAAAGTGCTCTATATAGTCAATTGTAGACAAAAATATTTCACAATTAAAGTATCTAACTTTTAAAAGTAAAAAAAAAAATCCTAAGATTTTATTTGAAAAAATACAAATTTTAAGCAATGGAGTAAAAGTATCAACTGTAACTGGTAAACGTTTTCATAATTAGAAGGACAAAAGGAGGAAGAAATAAAATAAATTTTTTTTTAATTTCCAGATTGCAAATTTAAAATAGCACAAGATTCAAGTAATGCACAAAACAGTACATGACTAAGTTATTCTTGAAATTATATGATTCAACTTTCAGAGCAAATAGTGCTGTAATGCCTTGGCTGATTTAATTAACAAAAGCATTTCAAAAATATAGTTTGGTAACAAACAGAATCCCCTCAATGCTTTTGGAGAAACAAAGCACAATAGTAAACTTCCCTTCTCCCTACCACACACACACCCAATAGAATGCTATCTCACAAAAGTCCATGTAATTCTTGACTGTATATAACCCACCTGGGCTCATTCTATCTCTACACCAAATTCCCTTAACCAAGATGTATAGGTTTTTACTTAGAAAAAATTTTTTCTTTAAAAATGGGGTGGGAGAATTTCTTTGTAATTTCCAGAACCAACATACTTTAAAAATTCACTAAATTTAAAGCAGGACAAATATACCTCTAAGATTAGTCATGATAAGCACACAATCTGGCCTTCAAGTAGATTTCTGCATGAGGCCTGCTTTACAGACAATCTGCAAAAGGGCCACTCTGCACACGGTTCAAGTCAGTGCTACCTAAATATGGCAAAAAGCATTGGAGGGCCCTCAAGAGCGCCAGGAAGACTCCCGGACAGGAACAAGGAAGAGAAGTACTGATTCCACAGAAGTTCACTTTGCTTTCTGCCAAGGCCTCCTCTTCCAGACCATTCCTCACAATCTCGATGACTGTCTCATCAGTGCCTTTAGCTCCCTGATCAGACTCCTGATTATAGCACAGGAAGTAGCTGCAGCTTCCCACTCGTGCACAGAGTCACGTGGTTGAGGTGTGGCGCTGTTCTGAATGGCTCTTCAAGTTTTCTACACGTCGGTGGCTGCTTCAAGACATTCTTCTACAAATGGACAGGACAACCTAGGCTCACTAGTCCACGGGTGACATGAGCCATAATGGATATGTGGCTTCTGATTTTAAAAGGGGACAGCCACTTGCCTATAACTGACACAAACTCAACCACGACTCAGAGTGCACAGAAAAAAATCAGAACTAAATTAAGACTTGAACTCATTTGGAGAGGAATAAGGGAAAGCACACATTATATTCTCAGTAGCAGTGTTCCCTGACGCTTTTAGCCTACATGACATATTTAAGCCCAGTCCGTCCAAAGAGTCCCAGTGTCTTTCTGCAGCATGGGGACAAGGGACTAAGAAGTCCCCACATCCACAGCATGTGTACAGTCAGAGTGGGATGTGGGAAAACCCACAAAAGGAGCGTGGAGCAAATGACCCTCTCCTAGAGTCTACGCTCCCAAGCCTTCCTGCCTTGCTTGTGTGCGTATTAAGGAATCTGGTTTTTAAAAGATATATTAAAAAAAAGATCACTCTGAGATAATGAATCAATACCTTTTAGACTTACATTGGTGATAATTCGATGGAGGGAGTTTACCAGCACATAATGAAATGTGGATGGGGAGTTCTGGGCCAAACAGATCTATAGAAAAAAAAATGTAATGTTTTACTTCAACATGAACAATATTTAACAAAATAACTGACACAAAATAGAAATAAAAGGGCAACTCAAAATATTAAATAATAAATCTGGCTGGATATCCTGAATTTCACACATTATGGAAATACCACTGAAAATATATTCACGATAACTGAACAAATGGGTAGATGAACACAATGGAATATGACTGTGCTGTAAGAAATGACAAATGTGATGAATACAGAGAGGCATGGGAAGATGTGATCGTGAACTGATGCACTGGAAGGGAAGCAGAGGCCACACAATAACAACAACGTAAACAGAAAGAACCATCTTTTTTTTGAAGTCTCAGTCTAAGCAAACTTATCAAAAGCAAGCACGCTGTGAAAGGAGAGATGAGCAGACACCCCCACCCCACCCTCGGCAGAAGTGGGTGGCCCCACGTGATGCACCCGGTACATAGTTTCAGACTTTGCCTTTGTATTAATCAGTAATGCTGACTTTTTCCTCTTCTTTTTTTTCTGTCTTAAAAAAAAAAACACAACTATTTGTTATAAGGGACGGCTCTGTAGGAGGGGGAGGAGGGGAAACTATGGTGACATAAAAAATAAAATACATTAATAAAGTTTATTTTAAAATTCCTGAGGTTTCTAGGTCATGCCTATGAGCTAACTAGAGATAATAAATTAATTACAAACACGCTTTGCTAAAACCC